AAAGAGAGAGAGAGAGAGAGGAAAGGGGAGACACCACAATGCAGATGCTCAACTAAGTAGTCATTTACTGCAACTGGAGGCTTTAGAAACTTAGATGAAAACACATAACGAACTTAGAAGGAAATGTATTTTGGATTGGATTCCACAGCCAATGACTTGTGCTTGAACATAGATAGAAAAGAGGATAAATATCGGTGCTTTCTTTGTACTTAAGTTGCATATCAAATGAGAAAAAGAAACAGGGGAAAGTCTCAAAAAGTTACAGCATTGTAAGGTTTTATCTCCTATAATCTACTAGTTTAACTCCAATTGGTGATATGATAGCATAAAACATTCTTTACTAGCAAATTCAGTAATGAAGCAATCAGATTCAGGACAAACCAAAATCATTATGGTGTACTGGATCATTCAAAGCTTCCATCAAAGGACCAAGAATAAAAATTTCAGGTACCGACTTCACACAGCTTCCATATTTTGTCCATTCAATCCCCAAAAATGACTGCATGATCATGCATCTAACTGCATTATGCAGAAAAGAAAGAGAGCAGGAATACATTATCATAAAGTTTACAATAAATCGTAAATTTACTTATCCCCAATTAAGGTCATGCTAGCAAGACATCAATACCTTGAGGATTATCATGACAAAAGCCTCGCTTCCACAAAATTGATAACCAGCTAAAGACTTCACCCCAAGTTTCTGACTGATTTTGATGGACACCTCTGCTAATAGCACTCACAAAGTTATCATCTGAGGCAGAAAACTGAAGCAACAAAGTTATCTGCAAGAAACCATAAACATTAAGCAGGTAGGCGGGGTAGAACTGAGGTTCGAATAAATTTTTACAAACTACAGAGAGACAGCAACAAATAAATAAAGACAATATATAAGATACAATAAGGTATCTTCTTAAGCATCAGCAAATAAAGGTTGTTTCGAATTTGACAGCAAGGAACTGGAAGATAACACATTAAACAACAGAGTAATAGACATGTCATTCAAGTGACCATAACTACAAACCACAGAGTAATAGACATGCCATTCAGGTGACCATAACTACAAACAAAAAAAAAACAAAGAAAAGAAGTTGATGACTGTGTAGAAAAACCCTCCAAAGAATAACAAGTCGACTAAGGCATATAAACATATCAACATTTTTCATCATATATTCTGAGCAAGGAAATTTTGAGCCATTTCAGAGAAAGAAACTGACAGAAACCTTATAGAAATGCTTCAAGTAATTAAAGAATCCTAAAAACACCACGAAATTATTCCCTTTTTTTATAATATAACATTTTTCTTCAAACATTTGTTACACATCCAGGAAGCCAAAAGATTCTCATTCAAGCATCATGCACAATAGTTCACATTATGTTGCCCTTGATAAAACTGCCTCAGTAGAGCTTAAATTGAGGCGTGCAACTAGTTTCTTCATCTTTTCATTAGAGGATATTGCCATGCCGCATTACTTATCTACTTCTAAAGTTATTAATCAAATCCAATAAACTAGCTTTGCTAATTAGTCCAAATAAAATTCCCTAACAG